CCGTTGGCGTCCAGACACTTAACTCCACCTAAAATAATATATATAAATAAGAACTACTGGCATTATTTAAGTAACATACTTAAATAGAGGAACGAAAACATACCCGAATTGAAGAGGGACATATATCGTAGATAGGTGAATTCTTCTGCAGAAACACCAGCGACAAAGAAATCAGAGATTATTGTATTGAAGTCAGGTCGAGCCGATGTGGGAAGCTCATGTGTCTGTATTTCTTGGAATTCAATCTGCGTCATACTAAGACTCCGACCGAACATCTGACAGAGTCCCAGAATAAAAAGATCCACCCAGGAGAAAGCGATGAGTGCATCCTGAACGTCCGTTCTGGGAAAAGAATAAGATATCATTACAAACAAAATCGATTAAATTGCAAAACGCAGTATGCAACAATATTTCACGCTGAATGCGTTTATATATGTCAATACTTGTTTTAAAGAAGGGCACATACCATTAACTCCTAAAAAAAGTATTTCAACTTAAAATGTTTAACTAAATATCTTTAATTTAAGAGGTTAAAATGACACTCAAATAACGGGGAGATGGCATACTTAAAAGAAGTGACATTTTTATGCGCGAAATTAAAGATTAAGATACTTGTTATCAATAGTAAGATAAATGTGATAAAATTACACAATCAAAAAAGAAGATAATTTATGTTATAATAGAAAGAAAATACGAAAATCTAAAAGAGAGACATCAAAATATCATATGAAACAAAACATTAAAATAAGTGTTTAGAACAATTCTTCCCATATCACATATCTGGGGCCAAAAAAACTTGGCTAGGAGATATCGTAATATTATTATTTCAAATGGAAGGCTTTTGAATATTTATCATAAGCCCTTTAGCTGGCTTCGGGCTTCGCAGGGGGAGGAAAATCAAAGAGAGAAAAATTCGAGAGGGGGAGCAGAAGAATGATTCAAGGATGCAAAATAGATAGACAGACACAAAGGCAGAGAAAAGGTATGATGAGTACTGTGAAAGTGGTAGAATATGACATACAGTGGAGTGATGGTAGTTTGAAGTCAAAGTCAACTGCCAGTTAATAGACTTTTTGTGAAGTGAGAAGTCAACTGCCAGTTAATAGACCTTTTTGCGTTGAAGTCAGAAGTCAACTGCCGGTTAATAGAATTTTTTTGCCGATAGTTGAGAAGTCAACTGCCAGTTAATAGACTTTTTTGCTGTATCAGTATGCTTTCCCCAAGGTGCACCACGTGGAGGTAAGTCTATCGTACACCCCTTGCAGAGTACAAAAATGTGAAAAAATGAGAGTTCTAATTGTGATAATCAAGATGGACATCTGCGGTAGTAAGGTGAAGTGAAATTTCCGTCTTCAATGTCATTGTCTTAAGCATAGATTTTTCCTTAAGTGATTATTTGGAATAATATATATCCGAAAAGAAGTAAATACTAGTTGGAAAATCACACGAGACCATGACACCTTTTTAACGACCTGTGAGGACTATTAACAGGAAATGGTTACAATCAACGCTATCTGGAACGGTTGCGTAGGGCATTAAGCTGCACTCTAAGACCTCATTGCCATTTTTGGCCCAGTAATGAGATGGTTCCTGATCTGATGTATTTACTGTATTCGAGCCATATATAAACAAGTAAGGGTTTTCAAATACATGGTGTTTTATTCAACTAAAATATGGATTTTGAAATCGTAGCATGGGTTCAAGTATACACCCAACGATTCGTTTGACTCGTTCCAGTGGAGCAGAAAAGGTTTGCTTTCCTAAATAACTTCAATTTCATTTAAAATTGACATGATGTCCTAAATTTTGGATGATTATTTATCCCCTACAGAGTCGGATTATATCTATGATTTTGAATTTTTTGGGTAACAACAAATTTAATAAGACTTAATCAATTCACAAAAAAACCCTTGTTTTACTAAATAACTCACATTTTCTATAAGACTATTCTTTACAACCAATTATTCCGGCCAAAACAAAACAAAATGACAATTTTATTTACACAAACCATCTTAATGTGGAGAACTATAAGAGAGGGTGAAGGGAAGTAGAAGAGGCTGAAAAAAATAAGACAAAATTGTATTGAATAAACAAGAATATTTGTTTTATTTGTTCATGGAAATTCATTAAATTGGCATTTTTTTACTAGGCCGCACTATTCAGTACTGACTTAAAGATCTTAATTCGAGGTACCGGTTGGTAAAAATAGAATTTTTATTCAACATTATTTCCGCAATTCGGCAGAGTTGAGAATTCTAGTCTGGCGTTATGATCGATATCCCCACTGGGTATAATTAAGTTGCTAGCGGCTCAGTTCTAAAGAGAGTGAGAGAGATCATGGGGGGGGGTTGAGTGGGAGGTGGGATACAACAGATGCCCAGTTACTCTATGATATCTCTTTGATTTAATAATGGCTATAAATATTGGATTGCTTGTCACCTTCAGAATTTTGATTTTGCCGCTCAAAGTAACAGAGGACGAATGTTCGTTTTAACCTAGATTACTTGACAAGTTGCTAGAAGTGAGATGCACCACCACATTGCCAAGATTGATGAGTGACTTGGAGGCTACTTGTGGGAGTTGATCATCCAGAAATAAAGCATTCTGCAGCTCCTCCTTAAAAGGAAGTTTATAGTATCTTGGGCAATCGTTGGTGCACAAGTTTAATTGCTCTGATGATGTGAAGCAATTTTGTATTGAAAAAAAATCATTGGTAACATTTTAAGCCGTTTTACGTCAGCTTAACCCCTCTTCGATGTTAACTTCGCCTATGTTGGAGGTAATATAGGCTTTTCTTAATTGTAGCCATTTTGCGTGCCTTACGACCAAATACAATTGTGTTGGAGTGCCGGCACAACTCTCGACTCTCCTGGCCAACATCAACGCCTTCTACGCACATATCAATTCCAATAATAGCCAAACCGCCTCCGAACGTTTCGCCGCAAGTAACTTTGGCGTGAGTTTCTATGCTGCCTTTATTAATTAAGGATTGTTTTTTTTCTATTTAGACATCCTTTCTTACCAACAATGTTTGTAAACTGGGACAACAAGTCACGTATT